ATTGCCAAAGAATGGTTAACGTTGGTTGAGTTTCTGACAGATATTCTTTGCTGATCCAGACATTGAAATGGCAAGTTTCCAATTTAGAACCAGTGACATTTTTGACCTCAGGTATTTACCTAGTTTTAGATTTAACTGATTGACTGGCTGAGCTGAACTTTAGTCCCATTATGTAATTCAACCCACTTCCTTCCTGTTTTAGACAATGTAAATCACAGGCTATAAATTTTCACAGCAGCTACCATCATACTTTGGTCCCTAAGAATTTAGAAAAAAATGAGCAGTCAGGCATAAAATTCATTAACTCTAGATTCACTTTGTTTTAATTGTTTTGTTTGTTTTGTTTATTCACTTTGACTCTTTAGGCCCTGTGCCACATGCCATTCCCTGACTGAGTAGAATGACATGAAAACTCGACCACTAGGAGATGCATGAGATGCATGCATGGGCAGACTCTTCAGTTACTGACAGTTTTGGTCGGTAATTATGGGGATCTGAATCTGCAGTCAATTGTTCTGCGATGCAGTGGTTTCTTACATCAACCGTTTGAGACATTGACTGCACTACATACCTGGAGTAAAAGAGGGTTGGTTATGCATTTCAGCCCCAAATGGGAACTTTGAACTCACAATCTGGCTGACTCTCCAGTGCAGAGTTATGGAAGCGCCGCATTGTTGGAAGTGCTATCCTCTGGATGAGGGGTTAAAACAAGGTCCCGTCTACCTGTTCAGGTGGACATTACAGATCCCGATCCTTTATTTAAAAAAAGAGAAGGGAGTTTGCCCCCCAAAAAAGCTTATCAATTACTTCATGGCTGTTTGTGGGACATTACTGTTAATAATAATAATAATAATCCTTGCATTTGATATAGTGCCCTATCACATTTTTGAGACCTCTCAAAGTGCTTTGCAGAACTACTGTGAAGTGAATTGTATATTTTGTGGGTGAAATGCAGCAGCCAATTGTGCACAGCAGTGTCCCACAAACAGTCCAGGCTGTTTGTGGGACATTATACTTTGCAGTAAATCCTATGAAGCTCTTGTAGATGTCCTTCTAACATGAAAGGCGCTATATCAAATGGAAGGATAATTATTTGTTATTAACAGCCATGTAATTAACAAAAGCACTGAAGCTGGGAGTGTAAACTAACCCCAAAAAATGGTGAGTGTGAGAGACTGAGTGAGAGTGGCTTGGAGTTGATAGGAAATGGCAGCAGCTGGGGCTTACTAAAGTAGATGGATTACCTTCCCCGGATAAATCCAGGTATGCAGAATTGTAATCTTATAACCCTATTTAAACACTTGTCTATTATTTTATTTGTTTGAGTTTGGCAGCATTGGTATGATCACCGTGACAGAAATGACAAGTTTGTGGCCAGAGATTTACACCACCACAGTCCAATAGAAAAGGATTGGGCTACAGTAAGTAGGATTAGGTATAATCAATCAGTCAAGTCTACAACTGTACAAATAAATAGAATTTTCTTTTATTATTTTAAAATGAAATATCTTTAAAACTACAAGGATTGTTTCAACAGTGAGTGATTTCAGTGAGTGCTCCTAGCAGACAAAATATAAACTATAGAGTTGTGTGACCAACTACAGCAGAACTGCAGAGTTTCTGTGAACAGACAGAGTCCCATTATGGTGTGCATGCAATGTGGGCAATGGCAGTAAAGTTTATTTGTTAGTCTGTTGCTATTTTTAGCCTAATTTTTTTCATATAGAAAACTAAAATGTCAATAAACACTAATCCCATTAAAGTCTCACTTTTCAAGAAAACTGTGATAATAAGAATGTCAAACTACAGATTATATTATTTTATCTGCATTGGTATACCAAATTGCATGGTTTAGATATAAGTAAATGGAAATAGAAGCAGAAATTTGACTTGACTTAAACTCACTTTGTTTTATTGAGAAAAGTTTAGGCTTGAATGAATTGAAAGAGGCTGTATATTTTAGTCAAAATATTCCATACTGTGCTGAGAGATTTTAAATGGGATTGAGAAAGCAAATTCACAATAATCACAAAATCATAAGGTTAGTTTGGATGCAGAAGCCAACTTGGCCCATTTTATCTCATCCCACCGTCCTCTCATCAAGCTGCTTTTTAAATGAATCAGGTGTCCTGGCCTCAACTATCCTTCCTGGCAAACTATTCCAGTCATTAATTATGCCCTACATCAAGAAAAAACTTCCTGGTATTTGTCCTGAAATTGCCCTTTGCAACGCTAAACATATGTCCTCTTGTTCTACTGTCTTGATGCATACTAATGTTTGTTAGTGCTTGCTTTTTAATTCCATTAAAAATATTATATTAATAATCCTTGCATTTGATATTAGCACCTTATCATGTCTCCGAGACGTTTCAAGGCACTTCACAGAAAAGGTATATTTTATACACCTCTATAACATTCTCTCTGAATTGTCTTCACTCAAGATTGAAACTTAATATTTTCAAATGCACTGAGACAACAGAACAAGAGGACACAGGTTTAGGGTTCCAAAGGACAATTTCCGAACAGATACCAGGAAGAATTTCTTTACCTAAAGGGTATTTAACAACCAGAACAGATAACAAGGAATTGTGTTTCAGGCCAGGTAGCCTGAAATTGGATTAATTTAAAAGGTAGCTTGATACTGTGACTGGAAGGTGGGTCTTTTGGAAGGATGAGATCAAATGGCCTTAAGGGCCTTCTTCATCCAAGTTTCTCTTGTCATCTTGAGAAATAATGGGACTGTTTATGGCACATGCCTGTCTCACATTTCAGATTTCTAACATCTCACTGTTGACATTGTCCCATAACACTATTAAAATATCCTAATATCTAATAGCAATATTTTCCACTAAATCTTTACAATGGCAACAAAATAAAAAAGTGTAAACCTGCACTTAAAAAAAGGAAAAATATGCTGGGATGTTTATAAAGATATTGTGAAAAAAATCTGTGTTTTTAGCAAATAGGAGAGTGTTTTAGACCCTAGTGGGTGATATTCTGTTTTGCTATGTGTAGTTTACAAATAGATTTGCCTATCATCAAAGTCCCCACATTTAGCATCAGGGGAAAAATCAAACCTCTATGTGCTTGAATATACAAATTTGTGTTATATAGTTTTACATGACATTTATTTAATTCCACACATCACTAATAAATCTTGCACAGCAGAGTTTTGCATCAAATGTATCAACAAAAATGCCCCATATTAAATTGATTTTCTCCCATGGGTTGATACAGCAGGTGGTGATCTGTTTTTATCTCTTCACTACTTCAAGGCTGCTCTCTAGGAAATGGGTGAGAGGCAATTGTACTTCCCATTTCCCTTCTCCCCTGATGAGGAAGCAGCTGTTCACTACGTCCCTCCACTGTGATATCACTGACACATGTAATTTAGAGTGTGACAATCACAATCTCCAATCTTCCGTGCCCCTTAACAACAACAAACAACAAATTACATTTGTACAGCGTCTTTCATATCAGGAAGACATCCCAAGGCGTTAGACAGTCAGGGATTTGGACCCGAGTAGAGGTTTGGGGTCGAGGGCAGGGATAGCAAGGGGTAGGAGAGTGGCCAAATGTGGGGTCGAGGAGGAGGGTCTTGAGACATGTTTTGAAGGAGGCAAGGGAGGGAGCAAGACAGAGGGAATGGGGGATGGAGTTCCAAAGGGTGGGAGCAGAGGAACTGACGGCCCGACTGCTGATGGTGGTGTGGGCCAGACAGGGGGATGTGGAGCAGGCTGGAGTCTGCTGAGTAGAGGGAGTGGATAGGTTGATAGGGGGTCAGCAGGTCACAGAGGTAGGAAGGAGCAAGGCTGTGGAGGGCTTCAAAGTCACTTCAAAGTAGACTTTAGCATTTCTTCAATATATGAATTAAAAGATTCTACATTAGTTCCCTCTACTATGTTCATCCTGAAATATAATTCAGATGCTGCAAGATACGCTTCACATTCTTCCTCGTAACTACTGTCAAATCATATATTCTCTTTTGCTTTTATGTTTTGGATGTACTGCATTAGGGAGAGCCTGGAATTCGAACAGTAATCAATCAATTCCGCCTCAGTGCAGTAAATGTGGACCAGTCTTCACTATAGCTCGTGTACTGTAAAGCTTTTCTGCCTGCTGGGCAGCATTTATGTTTTTCCATCAGCTCATCTTTTGTAGGTTGCTAGTGGGAACTTTCACAGTGCAGGCAAGAATTGGGAGTTGTGCCAAACTGGCCTTCTCATGTGTGGAAATTTCCTCAAAGTACTGCTGATCTCAGCCCCAGTGGCAATGCCAAAATACCGGGAGTCTCTTAAGTACCTAGAAATCACTATGAGGAGATTGAGAGCGACAGACAACCCACGAGGATGCTATTAACTACAATCAAATCTGGAAACAAAACCATTACTTAATGCTTTTACGTATAGTGTTTTCTCTGTTATTGTACTGTTAATTGCTTATCCAATATTTCCTTGGATCTGCTGTAACCAATGAATATTAAAGGATAAAATGAGGTCCTATATAAAAAAACAATGAACCATTTAGGATTAAAGCTAATTAGGAGTGCTTCAATGTGGATGGACAATCTAAGATTCAGAAATATTTCTTAAGATAAGTACACAATGACCAAAGAAAGAATCTCTTGCGTGAACGTTTTATCATTCCTCAACCTATTGATTATCTAAAACTGGAGGATCCCCGACAACATTTCAATTAAATTCGGGTTAGAACGGCTCTTTTTGTACTGATCTTTTACCTGACAAAACTGTTTCCCCTATCGGTTATTAACTCTTTATTTGTCCTGGCCACAGAAATTATTGGGTCACTTCATATATTGGGGTATAAAAAGGAAATAGTATTTCTTTTAGACATACCCCCACATTTTCCCTCATATAAATGCGAGTTGTTGTTGTTTGTATAAGCCTGAATTAGTTCAGTTGAAGCTATGTTGATCCATGCATAGTTAAATTGAAATAGATTTTTATTTGGATAAATCAAATACTGTATAATTTGAATTGATTATTTTTATTTCTTCGCAGGTGTATAAATGGGGACTAGATTTGTTGGCTTGTATAATTACACAATATTCTGCACATTTATACAACAGTTTTAACACACTTTGTCAAACAGTTTAAAAAAACATGGTTTTACAACCTTATATATTAACTTGTGATACAGAAAAAACATGAACTTTGTAACTATGAACCGGTTTAGTTAAGATTTTGTTCCTTCCATTTTTATATTTCTATTTTAGAATGTAGTGTCAGAAGTCTCTCCGAGTTTTACTTCTGGCTATGACGTATTCACTACTCTGTGTTTAGTGTATTGCTTGTTCGGTTGAAGAGACACTCTGTTTTTCAAACATTAAACTGATAAATACAAATGGCACTGGAATGAATGGATATGAAAAAAAACAAAGGACTTTATTTTGTGAAACAGAAAAGCTGCATACATAAAAGACAAAAGGCCCACATTCTCCTAGCAACTCCCAATAAAAGTTGCTCCCTACAAATGCAACAATACTAGCGTTAACCCTTTCCATGCAAGTTACGTGCTATTTTTTGTTTGTCTGGACCTAATGTGTGTAAAAGTATTTGTATAAAAGATTAGGAAAAAAGCATGTGCAACTTTAAAATAGCTTGGGTCCCATTTTACATGACACAATGCAGCTAATACAAATTTACTATCTATTTGTGCTACACATAGACGCTTCCATTCAATATTTATGTCACTTTGCACAAAGGCACAAATTGGTTATGCACTTTATATGTGGCTGTGGTTTGTATTGCATTCAGATATCAAAGCCTTTTTTCCCCAGTGCCAGGTAAGATAATGGGCCATTCCTTTCCAAACTTATTTTTTTTCTGAATGACTATTTGAACTTTACAAGGTTCTTGCCAATATGAGGTTGTGACAAAGTTGGAATGATAAACCGGCATGTGTAGTAATTCAAGTGTTGATTCTGCTTGCACTGCAGTGTAAGCTTTAACTTTTTCCTGAGAGCATGAATCCCTCTATTTTCTTCCGAATCCTCCTTGTGGCTCCTTGTTTTATAATATTCAAAGGTGCCACCATAAAATTACTGCTGTGCAAGAATGCAGTTTGGAAAAAAACATGAAGTATAATACTTTTTGACTGAGCAACAAATTACTTAATACAACTGAAAATAACATTAAATGTGTTTTTTTTGTAATCATTTCATCATTTATGAGCTGAGTCCCTGCCCCTGCATGAAGGGCACTTTTTAAATGCAAGTTGTTATTGTGGTTGTTCTTGTTGTATGTTGTTAGCAATCATTATAAAATGTCTACTTTTCTTGATTCCTAAACAAAATAATTCTAGCGAATCACAAGAATAACTCAAAAGAGGCACAAAGCTACCATTGTGTTAGAAGCAATCATTAATTGTTAATAGTATAAGGCGAAAAGACGATTATAATGTTATAAATGTTCATTTTGTCCCTGAAACACTCCCTCATTGGAATCCAAGTGCTTTTTTTTTCAGTATCCCAACTGTTCAGAGAAATTGCGTATCCTCAATGTCACATGGACAACAGTTTGTTTCACGCTGGCGATTTTGCTGTTGACTATTGAGTGATTCTCGAATGTCTAAGTATATGACTACCAAGCGATATACCTGCAGGATCAACACTAATGCATTCTTGACAGCAAAAAATGCGAGCATCTGGTTGATAACATGATGTTTCAGCATTAAATACAATCGGACAAAAAGGAAGGGCCCGTCTTGAATAAATATACTTATGCAAATATTCCACAGGTCTGCACTGTGTTTGCACAGCAGTAAGTTTCTCATCCTTTTTCCAGTTGGAGTTGCTTGGCATTCAATCTGTTGCACTGCAATATAGATGAGAAAAAATGTCAATTTACTCCTATCGATTTCAAAATTAACTCTTGTGTTAGTAATGATTGCATTTACAATATACTGAACAAGCAGGCATTAGCTTAGTGCTGTGGGATCTTGAAAGATATCTCTCACTCACATAATCATCCCAAAGTATCAGAACCCTCATCAGTTATGGTAGGGAAGAGCTACTATACATTATATTCAATGGTGGCCTGGTTTCCCAATGGGCTCAGGATTCTCAGGTTTCGGCATAAATTACCACAAGGTTTTATCGAGGCTTAAATAGAATTTACAAATTAGGCTGCATTGGGTTGTAAGTATCAGGAGCCATTCACGGAGGAGCTCGGGAACCATCCATGAGGGCATTCTGGAAATTTCCTGATTTCTCATATAGCGAGTCCGCACCTGATTACATTTCAATGATTCACTTTTTTCACTTGGTTCCTTGTTGTTATCTTTGTTGTATTTTGTTGGTCCTGTCCATGTCTGAGCTTTTCTAGGTTACAATTAGGTTCCTATCTCTTCATATTTTTTTTCCTTATGCTCTTCCTTTCATCTCCAGCTTTGCCCACATTTGACTTTTCATCTTGTTTTTTCCTACAGTACCATTCTAGGTTATCATCAGCAAGCTTTGTTCTGGCGCTGGTATTCTCTTTCAGTCTGTTTCACACAAGATATACTGTCAGCATTAAGGGTAGTTAGAAATGTCAGAAATACAGATGAATGATAATATTTAGTAAAAATAAAAATTAGAAAGCATTAAATGAGAGAATAATCTGAAACTAGTGACAATGGGCAACAGCTACTCTGTTTACTAAATTTAGCAGTCATTAATATACCTTAAGCTAATCATTATGCGTCAGTCTTGGCTCAGAGTTATTAATAAATATTCTGGAAATGTATTTTATATGATCTGTTTTTAATAACTGATCAAAGAGCTAATAATGTGATGTATGGTGCTTTTAAAAAGTTGCAAAGAATTCTGAGAGAGTTGTTCAAGCAAATTGACATGGCAATACATTAAACAGCAAATTTAACCAGGGGACAAGAAGTCGTATTTCCAAAAATTAAAACCATGCATTACTACAGTGCCCTCAAATACTTGCAAAAAAAATCTAAACCGGATAAGAAAAGTATATTAAAACTTACCTACAACATCCAAGGGAAATTGTAACATACTCCATGTCCACACAGCCATGATTAGAAATACCAGGTCAGAATTGCACCTGAAATCATCATTACATTTCATGTGTCAATGATGATGCAATATATGTGGCCGTAATGACACTGATTGTTTTTTGTCTAATATACAACTTACCTGACACCCTTCTCTGCCAGCGTTTCACTGCTAAACTCCAAGATATCAGCTGCAATTCCCACAAACATCAGGAGAAGCTGTGAGAGTTGGTCTCGGGTGATGCCGGCTCCCATGGGAAGAAGCCATTTTCCTAGTATAAGCAGAATCAAAAGAGCCTGGTGAAGAGCTAATGTCCAATCATCGATGTTCTTGAAGGCCTGGTTCAAGTAAAGAATTATTTAAAATAAAAAAAATCATAAGATTACATAATTTACACTCAACACATTCACAAGCAAAACACACCATGCAATACTTTTAACATAGTATTTATACAGAGTTTTGAGAACACGTATATTCTTTTGAATCTACACATTGGTCTTTATTATTGAAGGTGTGTAATGATTCACCAGGATATCTTTTCTGGGTTTGTGAAATTATGTTATAAATGTTATGAAGGAAGCAACATTAATTACTGTCTAGGTGCAGCTCTGTGTTTCTGTGCAAAGGTAAAAATACAAATAATTTGTTTTACCACATCTAGTGGACTACTCAGATCTTCTGACTGTTGAGCAGCTGGATCATCATTTGGTGAGGAAACCTCCTGGAAAATTGATATTCAAACAATAAGCATTCAGGACACGAGCACCCTGAGGAGGATATATGTTGGAATTTCCATGAAACACACAATGGAGATAATATTTGCAGTATGCTTAACATGTTCATTGTGCAAATTAAGACAGAATAGTTTAAGGAACATTGCAATTTTTACCCCATTATCTCTAAAATACTAAGTGTTGTATATTGTTTTTTGGTTTTGCTTGGGTTACATCAACAGACAATCTAATGTCCCAGGTATTGGCTATGCTGTGAGGGACACCTTTAGTTGCTGTGGGTACTGGAAACAGCCACGTTTGCACACCAATGGACCTTAACTCAGAGGCCACCCTATATAAAGGCCATTTTGTCCCAGTTCTTTGAGAAGTTATTGAAGACAGGATTGACTGTTTATAGATTAGTTTTGATCAACACATACAGAACTTTAACATGCTAAAAACTAGCCGAAGCAGACTGAGAGTTCCATTCTTTGTCATCTCCGCATGGAAATTCCCATGTCTGGAATAGTGTGCACTCTCTCTCGGAGGAACACAGCCTGCATGCTTAAAACTTTCCAAACCAGAATGAGAGTTCTGTGCTTTGCCACCCACACATGGAAATTCCTGTGTCTGGAATGCAATGCACACTTTCTCCCCTGAAGCACCTGTCACAGGTTTTCAAGAACCAAGGCTTGGTGACCACAAGCCTTATAAGAGAGTGTGTGTTGAAGCACTGCTGGCATTTAACCAGCTAAAACAGCATAGCTTGCCATTGCACTTCTGGCAAGATTCCCGCTGCTTATCCAGTTAGGACCACTCTACCATTAGGGCTTTGGTTGCAGGGTTAACCAAACCTGAGTTAGAAAAATCTCTGGCCCCAATGACCTGTCTCGCCTCCAAGTCCTGCTGATGAGTCAGACTATCAAGTCTGTCATCAGCAGTGCCTTGGAGTACAGTACTGTGGATCTGCCTGGCACAGGAACCAAACTACTGAGATCACCACAGACTTGATTCTATCATCCCATTGCGAAACAATTCATCTTGGAGCCAGTTTAGCTCCAAGGGGATCACTCTTACTTCCTCCCCAAGGAAAATAAAACATTTAATGAAAATTGTCCAGTTGAACTTATTAGGACTTGCCAATGTCATTAAGGAAAAAAAATTAAGAAAAAAATTGCAGCTGAGGAAATCCATTGAAAATGATTGTCTAACCCAGGCCAGGCAAGGACATGAAAGAGTGAGGTGACCAATTTAGAGGACAAAATGAGATTTATAAGCAGAAACAACATCATATTTGTGATGAAGAGTATAAATACTGTAGGCCATTGCAATTCATATGCAAGAGAAAGCGACATCCAGGAACGTCCAGAAATAGCAAAGGCTCACAAGTTACAGGAGGTCTAATCCCCAGGAGAGATTGTGATATAATAAAACCTTCCAGTCAGAAAAAAGGGCAGTGCCTGAGCAGGAAGACTGTGATAGAGCAGCGCTACATGCTCCACAAAGATCTGAAGAGACTTCTGACAATCAGCACTGCAAAAGTTATCATCTCTCCCAAATAAGGGAAACATGGCAGGTTCAGGCAACAGTCGTATAACTCAGTTCAGAAACAATGTAACATTGTGAACATTTAAAAAATATCCATCTAAGCTCATACAAACCATATATTTCATTTGAACAACTTAATGCTGCTTTTAAATAATTGTCCATATCTTATCCTATAAAGGAACAGACAGATTACTTTTTGAATATCTTACTTATATAATATTCTAATGTATTCAGGATCTAAGCAATTTTGAAGTCAATTATTTCATTCTGTGGGATCACCAGTGATAAATAATAATAATCCTTGCATTTGATACAGCGCTTTTCACGTCTTCTAGATGTCTCAAAGCACTTCACTGAATATACTGTAAAGTGAATTGACTGTATAATTGTGGGCAAAACCCAGCAGTCAATTGCACACAGCAATGTCCCACAAACAATCGTAGATCGAGTGACCAAATTATTATTGTATTTTTTGAAGGATTATTATCCCCGGAAAAGCGGTCCGCCAATCGACTAACAACTGGGTTCCTACTTGCTGTTAGATAAACAGAGCCATGTGGAGTAAGGAAACTGGCCCAACATTTTGCCCTGCTGAGAATCAAACCCAGGTCTCTCGCTTGCGAAGCCTTCGAGTGCTCTAACCACTGAGCTACAGGACTCCACAAAAGCTAAAAATTACACGTGGATCTACTGAATCAGCATTTTTAAATCTGGTTTCCACTGACCTGGCAAAGAATACCATACTACAGATGTTTTGTAGCAACGCACAACCTTGCCAAAATATCTGGATTAAATTTGTATATCAGATGAGTCACTGTTGAAACACAACAACTGCTGCCATAAAGTACTGATTGGGCTGAGCTGAGCAAAGGGAGGATTGGCAATGGTAAGCATGCAAGACATAGTGTGGTTTATGTTTACAGAGATGGCCGTCACTTGGACCTGAGCTTTGGGTGAGAGTGATAGGGGAGCTGGTAGTGCAACTCCAGGGAGCCAGCTCACACTTCTCTACTGCATACATAGCACTGAGTCAGTGTTACAATATAACTGCCCTCACAAGAATACATGAATCTGTGGAAACTAATGTGTGGTAAGAACCAGATGCAGAAAGTGGAGAAGTGGTGGTTCTTCAACCAAAAATGCCTAGAGACATCAGATTTAATAACTCAATTGCTTTTCAATTTTATAGATTATTGGTCCTGAAGCCACTTAACATTTAGGTAAACGCCCCCTCGCTACTTTGTATCCCATAGATATTTGTTCAACTTTTCATCTGTTAACATTTACTCTACATAGCCTACATACATTTTGTAGCCTGGCATATATAAATGTAATGCTGTGGAGAATGAGTTATGCTTCACCGACACAGAACATATTTACATTGACCTTAATTTAAGACCAGATGTTTAATTTGTGTTGCTTTACTTGAAGGATAATCTGTAATTACTTTTAGATTTAAAGCCCTGCCTAGTTCATACAGTATATTCTGTGAAGACAATGTAATGCTAACTTTGTTGCAGGGATAACGAGTATTTCAATTCTCTGCTTAACCAAGCACATGCCTTGTCTAAGGGAAAAATGTACTTAATTTTTGTCTTGGTAATATGGCTGCAGCTTGCTTTGAATAGAACTGAATATCAGAAGCTACGAGCATTAATACTTTTGCTTTTTCTAAAAATATTCCGTCTGAAGGAGTTTTCTCCAGGAGCCAAACATAATGTTTGTTTAGGATACAAGATGTTTTTTGTGCCAAAGCTTTAAAAACAGTTTCCTTCAAACTATGAGAAGGGAAGTACCTCAGACACTAATCTTAGTAATCTGTGAGTAGGAAAGGAATAAACAATTTTTATCATAAAATACTAATTATTTTTTCCTTAGGTCGCAGTAGATTGGAATTAAACAGATTGAGATTGTAAGATTTCAAACTCAACCATGGAATATTAGGCATTAAGTATGTTATAATTCAAGGGGACAATTTACAAAGAGTATAAGAATTGGAATCTCATTTGTTGTTTTAATTAACTTGTCCCAAGATACAACAATAAATCCATATATATAGATAATGAATTTATTGTATATTATATATATATATATATATATGTCAGCTTGGGTGCCCACAGCACTGTGAAGTATTTATCCTGGTGATCTGACCATCAAATTCTCAGATAGACAAAAATCGATCATTCAACTCATGTCTGTTTCTGGGGCATTGCTCTGTGAAAATTGACTGCTGTGTTTGCCTACACAGTCAAAGTGCTTTTCAACATGATAAAGTGCTTTATCAAATGCAAATATTATTATTGTAGTAGACAATGCTACGTTAGCTTGTAGTAGGTTAACTGCACCAAAGGAATGCATTGAGTAAATGCATGTAATATACAAACACAACTATGACTCATTTAAAAGACATGAAAGACAGGAAGCTTTCAGGCCAATGTAATGAGAGACAATATTTATTTTGAGGTTCTCTCTAATACTGCATCACATTCAGCAAATGAATGGAAAATACATACCAAGCACTTGTGGGAAGATTCATTCACTGGTGAACATTTATTTTTCTTTATCCATTGAAAGTGATTGACTTCAAGGATCCAGATTGAAGGAATTATATTGATTAGATAAAAAAAAATTGCTGGAGAAAACCTATTCAAACGAGAGTATAGATATGTTAGAGGACAGTGACACAATCCTAAACATTTCAGCATCTTTAGTTATCATTCATCTATATTTCATTCAGTGAAAATTTTACAACATTTTTGAACACCTGTGGTGGAAATTAATTTAGAAAATCAATTACAGAATTTATCAGGGCATTAATCACATATTTTCAAATCCTCTCAAATATGAAAAAGGAAATTACTCCTGATGAATTGTGAACTTTAAGTGATGCTAAAAGTTATGTGTTACTGTATTGAGCTGTATTCTAGGAAATCAAAAGCATAATATTTAGGATAAATTAACACAAAACTGTCTGTCAGAATCCCCTGTCTTTAAACATGTAGATTCTTACTGAGCTGTGGTAAAAAGCTCATCTCTTCTCATTGAAATTAACCTCGTACAATTGGACAAATTCATAGCACAAACATATTTTGATTTGGTAATGAGATGGTCTGAGCTCTTAAAAGTTTAGGACTGAGAATATCCGAATATATGTTTTCACTTCATGCAGTTAGGGTGTAATTAGGTTTAAGTAACATAGCTGGGTCTGCATTATTCACCATAAGTCTATTCAGAGTTTAATCAGACCTAAGTGTCATCTTCTACATTTAGGTTGTGCAGTACTCTGTGTGAAAAGTGTAAACCAGTGTTCCTAAGCCAAAAGCCTTCTGAAGTTTCCAACTTGCCTGTGTCCAGTTACAATTATAACAATTTATCACAAACAAACCAAAGTAAGTAGAGACTTATCTAGCTTTCTGGGCCATAATATTTTGGCAACAGTCAATTTTGTGTTATATTATAATAACAGAAGCTTATAATTGATTTGTTATGACAAAAAAGATTCAAACTTACCAGCTAACCAAGAACAAGTTCTCAAAACTGAAGGTGGCAGGTTCAAGTACCAGCCAGCCTTTAGAGCCCATTGTTTTTCCTGAATGGCCTATCAAAAACACTTTTGTACAGTATTTTACAATGCTAGGTTTCAAGATGAGGATCTTTGATGTCCTCTATAATGGTGTACAATTCTATATTATATCCAAGCGACAGTTGTGGTTTTACAAATCTGCTAGTCATTAAGTGTAGTAACTTGATAATGTGTGTTTATATTCTGAAAATTCCACCATTAGCCATAAAAATTACTATGATAATAATAATCCTTGCATTTGATAGTGTGTTTGTAATGTTGAAACATTTACATTCACAGTAAATTGCTATCAGGTGTAGTGACTATTTGTTAGCAAACAAAGTTAATCAATTTGCCCACAGCAAGATTCCAGAATTAGCCATGAAGTGAATGATCAATTCATCTGGAAGATTGCTGGCTGGACACAGGGAGACTTTTCCTTCTAGTTTTGAATAGAACTATATCAATTTACAGCACAGAAGAAGGCCATTTGGCCTTTTGTGTCTGTGTTAGCTCTTTTAAGAGTAATATTTTCAATCCCATGTGCCTTCTGGACTCTGCAGCACCTTGGGACGTCCTCCCAATTTGAAAGGTGCTAATATAAATGTAAATGTGTATTGTATTGTAATTTCCCAGACCCCTGTAGTTTACTACTCTATCTAGTTCCCTTTTGAAAGCTAAAATGGATTCTGCCTCAACCAGTGCTCCAGTAGAGCATTACACAGTGTCTTTAACATCCATGTAAACAAACAAAAGAGATCTTAATTTATCATCTCATCCAAAAGATCTCTGAAAATGTTGCACTCACCCAGAACTGCACTGCAGCATCTGCCTAAACTGTCAGCTCACAGTGGTGTGGTTGTGACAAGGGAAATGGACTCACAACCCATTAAGGGAGGAATGCTACTAATTGAGCCAGGCTGATAGGTAAACTAAGTGGGAAAGATAATATAATTCCTTCAAAGCAATCCTCAACTGAACTCAGAATGCACATCAAATGTGAATTTAAGTATTTAAGTTCAGGTGAGACTTGGAGTCAGTGAAGAGAACAGCAGTAATGAGCTATATGAGTAGGAAGTGAGAGCACTCGAAAGTTAAAAGTCATAAAAGGTACTACCGAGCCATCAGGAGTATTGCAACACAGTGAATTATCTGGACATTACAAAGGCACAATGAATGAGAAGCTCAGAGTCACAGTGCCAGCTGGTCCATAAACCATGGAAGTCACTCAACAATAATAACTGAGATACACAAACTCACAGAAGTGCCATCTGATGTCTATCAAGAGGTAAATGCCCTAAGGTCTGAGAGTTATAAGGATATGATATTTAAAATGAATGAAACACTAGGTTTTAACTGTAGGTTAACTTTAACTGTAACCTAAAGTGACTGTTATGAAAACTACATAATTATCTCTTTGTCTCTTAGAAGGAAAAACAAAGGGAGAATTATGTTGATTCCTCTATAGTACTTTAGTGGTTAAAATGCAGATGAATGCCTAGCAGACGTCACTGCATGTGAACAACAAATCGTATTTAAAGGGATAAGGTGCGCAATTCTCTAAAAAAGTTAGAACTTGAACAGCAGAATGTCTTGTTCTGTCGCTATCTCAGCTTGTAAGTGTTTTGTAGGGTACACTATCAATTTATTCCATTGGTTTTCAATGACTCATTTCATGTTTTGGATCTAGCACTAGCAGTCACATGAAGGACTCCATTGATAAGATAGAACAGCAGGAAAGGGAGTGCTTGTCTAAGTGACTGGTTAGAATGTATGGATGCACAGTTAGAGTTGTGAACATTTAAGTAATAAATTGGAACTGTTCTTAACCATAGGTATGTATTATTGTTTAAATTAGTGAGCTTTTCCAGTATGATTTCACAAGCAAAGGCAAGAGTCATTAATCCCCAGCTGGTGTAAATGGTTTGCTCTGCTTAATAGACATCTGGCTGTGACAATCTTACTCCAAAATATAACAGAGACACAAATTGTGTTTTTAGCACTTCCCAATGTGAAGTTCACTGTACGATATGTGCACCTGCATAATCAGAACTATAATGCTTACATAATCGATTTCTACAATCCATTCAATTTATTCTAAGATTAAATTCTAGCACTTAAGATATTGTCCTTTACCTCTGGAGATGAGTTCTCTGTCTAGATCAGTAACTCATTCCTGAGGGAGGATTGCTCATAAAAGACTAACAAAAGTATCTAAATGTTGGCTATCTCTGTGTTGTACCATTAAAATGAAAAAAAAATACTTCAGGTCAGGAGGCGTTCCATCACAAAGGTATATAAACAATTGTGTTTTACACATTTCCTGCTTCTGGGCAGAACATAGGACCGTGTCTTTTCAGGATTTCCTCCTGACTTGTTGAAAATACTTTCTGTACTACTTAATAGAAAGATTCTGAATCAAGATTTGCAGTCACTTTAGTGAAAATATTTGGTCTAGCACACCTCCTAATTCACTATGATTCACTTATAAGCTGTTTGAAAATATTTCTCTCTGAAGCAAACCAGTAGTTAATAATAATGGTAACAATAATCATCTGATACAGCGCTTTATCACATTATCGAGATGTCTCAATGGATCTGTGTATTTTTGTGGGTGAAAACACAACTATTCAGATGCGATATATATCAATAATAATAATAAGATAAGTGCACTGTAAGCGATGCTTAAATGAGCATTACTTCACAACTAAGTTCCTAGAGGCCAACCTCAGTATAATAATCCTTGCATTTGTATTACAACAACATGGAAACAAGCTTAAAGAGCTTTGTGAGGGAAAGATTTCCGATAAAATTATTTTTTGTACTAATGGTATAAAACAGATAAACAACTGTTAGGTACTTCGGTCTTAACAGTTAAATAAATAGCTTAGAGTAACTTCACTCAACTTAAAGTCATTTCTTAAGATGATATCAATCAAATATTGAATTAGCTTTGTTGATAACTTGACATGGGGGGCTAATGTGTAATATCCGTAAACCAAATCTAATCCTTATATTAGTCACCTGCCCACAGAGTGGTATAATTAGGAAATGCTACATTAAAAGTTCTCTCTTGCTTCAAAAGTGTCAATAGTAGGGATTCAAAAAAGACCCAATAAAGGTCTACTAGGCATTGCCTAAAGACAACACTTTTCACCTACCTTCTGCTCCATAGTGCCAAATTAGATTTTGATTTAGCAATCTATTTTACTGTTAGAACCATGAGCTTTAACCTTTACATTTAAAAAAGTGGAGTTTCATTAAAAACATTCTGAAAGAAACATTAATTTGTAGCCACTTGACATTCCTCCTTCACTAATTAAATTAACTTTCTCAAACAATTTCAGTAGGTTTGTAAGCCATGAATTGCGTTTGTTTAAACCAACGTTGACTCCACAGAACTTGTGTTCTTTAGATGAGCTTAATAGCACCACCTACATTCCTCTCAAGGATTCCCCTTCTAAAGATGCTGGGAAAATGTGTCCATATAATTTCCATACTCCTGTTACTCACATCTGTTAACCTACAGTATTCACCTAGTATTCTCCTCTTGATTCCAATGTGTATCCCATTTGACCCTGTTATCCTGTACACATTCTTACATACTTTTATTTAGCAATTGCAATGATTCATAAAATCTAAGACTCAACTAAAAGCCTGTTTCTTTTATCCAATTCAAAACCTGCTTCTTTCACAGAAAAGGTACCTGTAAAATTCATCAGAGACTCAATCTAATTATAGCTACACATTGTATTGAAAACGAGCTTCAGAATTTCAACAGATTAAAACAACTGTTCACATTAAATCATTTAACTGATAGCGACCCTTACCCTTTGTAATCTTTCCCTTTTCGGATCTTTAGAGTCACTATCATCTCGATACAGATCAGCAAAATCAGCAGAGTTAGAAGCCAGTAGTTCTGATTCTCTTTCACTGTAGTCACTCTCCAGACCGCCAATAAAGTATGTAAAATAAAAACAAGTCGAGGAATAATAGCACTCAGGAATATTAGCAAAGCCATTTTCTCCCAGAGCGCCCTGTTGTGTGACTCTGTTCAGTCTGAGTGTGTCTCAGTCTCAGTGAGCCAGGGGAAATTTTATCTTCAGCCAAAGCAGCTGGAGTGTGGACACAGGCAACTCCCTGCTCCTCCCCCAGACTCCACAGGCCCAGAAATAACAGCAAAGTTGCCACAAATCGCTTCACATTGTGTGATGGAGTGAAAAGGAAAAGTTAACAGCTGCATGATTGCACATTTTACATTGACTTCACAAAGCAAACTCGACAGAATTTGGGTTAAAAAAAAATCTTTATTTTAAAACCGAAAGAATGATCTTATTGAGACCTAACTTGCCCTAACAGATTAAAGCATTTACATTTTACCACAGGAATTTACCACAGGATGAGTACAGCTTCCGAATCTTTTGGTATAACCTGCCCATGCAATGCAATTCATTACGATTAAAGTTCAGAATATGAGAAACTCTTCAATTTCAAATGATGCCTCACTGTTAACTCGATTTTGCTTATTCCAGTAAAATGTTTTGAAAATGCATACTTGCAGCTGTAACTGAGAGATTTCGTGGAAAACTGTACTCTCTAGTTCTCCAAGCTGTCTTACTCATATGCCTCTTGAACTTTATTGGGAATGTTTATCGTGCTCCAGGGCATTGGTGAGGGAAATTGCAATATGCTTTAATTTCCAATCTTGAGAAGCAGCACTGATTGAAGAAGTAAAACAGAACAAGATCATGAGATCAGTTTTCTCTCATTGTCCAGAGTGTCCCACGCTTTGGCTCGGTGCCAAATTGGCTCGATGCCTTTTTTGTTTGTCTCTCAGCTATGTTCTGTTCCTGTTGTACTTCAGCTGAAACTCAAGAATTTCGTTTCACTGAACCCGTTTTAAAAAGTTTTTCTTTTACCTGACAATTTAAATTTGTATCAATTTAGAAGTTTAGCCAAAGTAGTGCTTTTTTTATTCCAGTTGCAAGTATTAGTGCCTTTGTGCATGAAGAAAATGGAACGGAATAAATTAAATACCCTAAAGAAAAATGCCTCCTAGCTAAATGAAAACAGATTTGACTTCATCCCTAGCTGGCTGATTCGTTTTGTGGCTGATGTTTGGCCTTCAAAGATTGATTTGGCAGGCAGCACCAGCATATACTATTTCATGAAAGTTTTATTTCAAAATGAAAGAGAAGATAAATTACACAGCAGATACCCTTTCCCTAGATCACCATCAAAATTCAGAATGTAGATGTACAAAAACTCGTAGATGTCACTCAATTCTTAGAAATCTGTGGTTTGACTTTGAATTTTTAAAAGATGAATCCAATATACTGTAATGTGATCTAGTATTTCTATTAAGGGTCAAAAATGGCAAGTGCACATCATTTCTAAATTTTGCCCTACATCAGGACACCTCATTCCTAAATCTTACCACCAATCTAAGATGTTCCTTTGAACGAAAATATGTTCCTTGTTCATGATTACTCCTCCAAACCTAAATCAGATCTTAAACCCAAACCCAAGTTCAAAATTACAAATTCCACTGACCTCATCTCCTAGCCAACAATCCTCCAGATAAATTAATCATTCACTTAAAGGCTGTTTGATGTACATTGCTGTGTACAAATTGGCTGCCAAGTTTCCCTATAAATACAGTCACTACACTTGACAGGGATTACTTCTGAAATTTGATTATCTCTGAAGTTTTGTTACTAAAAGTCATTTTGCCCACAAATATACAGTCAATTCACTTTACAGTCTATTCTGTGAAGCGCTTTGAGACATCTAGAAGATGCAAGGATTATTATTATCAAATGGAAGGACTATTATTACCTTTCATTTCAGAGGCTTGTATATACACTATTGCACTGAAACTGTTATTATTTATGTTGTTTTATATGAAAGCACTACATAATTACAAGTTGTAAAACCAGATACTAAATTTGCAACAGTGCTATGGATGTGCTGATAATCCAATTGTTCGTATTCTAGTTTGTGCTTGCTGGAAATATTTCAGTGAAAAGCACAACAAAAACTATTAATAATCTTTTTGTTGTTTGTTCAATTTAACAGAGCATTAGTTATGATGACTACCATAGAACGTTTGTTGATGGATGAAAATACACTCCTCGGGTTATTTTTTACAGTGAAATAGTGACCAAGTGTTTTGCTTAACAAAAGATATATACCGTATAATGTAATTGTGACTAAACACTGCAAAATCAGATGCATGACCATGCATATTGTGACTTTTTTGATACCGAGCATGCCATAACGAGCATGTCAGAATTATGTGTCAAACTAAGTCTGTTTTGCATTAGCTCTTTCCTAAAACTTCAGTTCACCTTCCAGGCAATGATTACAAAACACTTGATTTGAGATAAACTGTGACTTCCCCTAAATAGTAAGAGCAATCAATGCTATCAAGATCCAATAGCTTAATGCTGGATGCATGGCATCAAACCACACATCCAGGCTGTTAAAACTAAAAGCATGGCCATTGTCAACAACAACAACAGCAACAACAAAATTAAATTTGTATAGCGCCTTTCACGTCGGGAGGACATCCCAAGGCGTTGGACAGAGCTGAGGGTCGGGGTGGGGGAGGGGGGAGGGAGGGGCGGGGGGAAGCAGGGAGATCGAAAGCACGGACGAAGAGGAGGGTCTTGAGGTGGGTTTTGAAGGTGGCGAGGGAGGGGGCGAGATGGAGGGACGGCGGGATGGGGTTCTAGAGGGTGGGTGCAGAGTGGCGGAAGGCCCGCCCGCCGATAGTGGGGCAAGCAAGGCGGGGGATGTGAAGCAGGCCGGAGCCCGCTGAGCGGAAGGAGCAAACAGGGTGGTAGGGGGTTAGGAGGTCAGAGAGCTAGTGGGGAGCAAGATGGTGGAGGGCTTTGAAGGTGAGGACCAGGTTCTTGAACTGTATCCTCTGTGTGATGGGAAGGCAGTGGAGTTGGGCAAGGATGGGTTGATAGGGTCGAGGAACCTAGTGCGGGAGAGGACACGGGCTGCAGAGTTCTGGATAATCTGCAGCCTGTGGAGGGAGGAGTTGGGAAGGCTGACAAGAAGTGAGTTTGCATAGTTGAGCCTCGATGTAATGAAGGTGTGTATGAGGGTGTTGGCGGCCTGCCGTGTGAGACAGTGTTGGAGCTGGATGTTGTTCGGAGGTGGGGGAAGGCGGAGCGGGTCATGGCTTAGATGTGGGGTAGAAAGGATAGTTGAGGGTCAAACAAGACCCCGAGGTTCCGGACTGGCTTAGCAAGGTGGAGTGTGCAACCACGGATGGTGATGCTGTCAGCGCCTGAGGTGAGGAGGCGCTGATAGGAGCCAATCAGGAGAGCCTCAGTCTTGTTGACGTTCAACTGAAGAAAGTTAGCTCTTATCCAGGACTTGATGTCTGACAGTGGTCCTGAAGTCAAGGATGGAGACAGAGAGTAGAGTTGGGTGTCATCCACATATGTGTGGAAGTTGACCCTATGTCTGCGGATGATGTCACCAAGAGGGAGCATATAGATGTTGAAGAGGAGGGGACCAAGGACAGAGTCCCGAGGAACGCCGCACGAGACACGGGGGCTGGAAGAGAAACCGTTTGTGGAGATGAAGTGCAGGCATTGTGAGAGGTATGATCTGAGCCAATCAAGGACAGTGCCGTGGAGGTTGAGGTGAGAGGAGAGGCGGTGGATGAGGATAGAGTGGTCAACGGTGTCGAAGGCAGCAGAGAGGTCAAGGAGGATGAGGAGGCAGAGGGAGCCCTGGTTTTAGATGGACAGAATGTCATTTGCCACTTTGACCACAGTGGTTTCTATGCTGTGGGTGGCACAGAATCCCGATTGGAGGGTTCAAGAAGGAAATGGCGGGAGAGGAAGGAGCGAAGCTGAGAAGCAACAACTCGTTCCAGGACCTTGGAGATGAAGGGGGGTTGGAGATGGTACTTAGGGTGTAGAGAAGGGTCCAGGGAGGGTCATGCTTGCTTAGTTGGTAGCACTCCCACCTCTAGGTCAAGCCCCACAACACAGTGCTGTAGGAGTGCTGCATTGTTGGAGATGCCAAACTTCAGATGAGATGTTAAACCAAGCTCCCATCTGTCTATTCAGATGGATGTTCCATGACACCATTCAAAAAGTGAAGCGTGTTTTTCCGGGTGTCCTTACCAACATTGCCCTGGACAAAATTTATTTCATGGCTGTTCGTGGGACGTTGCTATGTGTGCCAATTGGCTGCCACATTTGCCTACAACATACACAGGGAAGGTGACCGGCGTTGATTACCTTCTAAGGAAAATAAATACTTATGGAACCAGTCCTGAAATTGCCCATTGCAAAACTAAACCTAAAGCCGCTTGACACAGCCTCCCAGCGTGACAAGTGTCAGATAAATGTGAATTGTACCGAATGTCCACTTTTTTTCCCCCATTGTCTTATGGGTGTATCCTAAAGTGTACCTGACAGTGGAAATGCTGGTAGCACAGGATCATTACTTAAAGTGCTGTTTATCCAGTGCATTGTTCTTCCTTCTGTTATCTCTCAAATCATCTAAATGCACATTCAGTACATACTGCACAGAGCCAACTTCTGGCAGATTGAGCCCCCGGGGCTTGTGCGCTTGCGCTGGTCTCTCCCCCCCTCCCCCCCCCCCCCGCGTTTCCATAGCGACCCGAGTGCAGAGGAACGCCGGCCATGGCGGGGAGAGCCAAGTCCAGAGGCCCCAGACAGACGCCCAGCAATCTGGAGTCTGGTCTGGGACGCGACTCCGCACGCAATAAACTGCCGTCCATCATTGCTGTACGTAACGGAGAGGAGGGAGGGGAGGGGAGGCGGGGGAGAGGGGCAGAGGGTAAGGGGAGGGGGAGAGGGGCAGAGGGTAAGGGGGAGAGGGGCAGAGGGTAAGGGGGAGAGGGGCAGAGGGTAAGGGGGAGAGGGGCAGAGGGTAAGGGGGAGAGGGGCAGAGGGTAAGGGGGGGAGGGGCAGAGGGTAAGGGGGAGAGGGGCAGAGGGTAAGGGGAGAGGGGCAGAGGGTAAGGGGAGAGGGGCAGAGGGTAAGGGGGAGAGGGGCAGAGGGTAAGGGGAGAGGGGCAGAGGGTAAGGGGGAGAGGGGCAGAGGGTAAGGGGAGAGGGGCAGAGGGTAAGGGGAGAGGGGCAGAGGGTAAGGGGGAGAGGGGCAGAGGGTAAGGGGAGAGGGGCAGAGGGTAAGGGGAGAGGGGCAGAGGGTAAGGGGGAGAGGGGCAGAGGGTAAGGGGAGAGGGGCAGAGGGTAAGGGGAGAGGGCAGAGGGTAAGGGGGAGAGGGGCAGAGGGTAAGGGGGAGAGGGGCAGAGGGTAAGGGGGGAGGGCAGAGGGTAAGGGGGAGAGGGGCAGAGGGTAAGGGGAGAGGGGCAGAGGGTAGGGGGAGAGGGGCAGAGGGTATGGGGACAGGGGTAGGGGGAGAGGGGCAGAGGGTAGGGGGAGAGGGGCAGGGGGTAAGGCAGAGGGAAGGGGGGGAGGGCAGGGGCTAAGGGGAGAGGGGCAGGGGGTAAGGGGGAGAGGGGCAGAGGGTAGGGGGAGTGGGGCAGGGGGTAGGGGGAGAGGGGTAGGGGGAGAGAGGCAGAGGGTAGGGGCAGAGGGGCAGAGGGTAGGGGGAGATGGGCAGGGGTTAGGGGGAGAGGGACTGGGGGAGATGGGGGACAGGAACAGGATACCCTGAGCCTCTGGACCAGTGTGAAGGGCCATACTCACGGCGCCACAGAGTTTATTTGGGGAGGGAGGAGGAGAGTTTTTATATATAAATAATAAAACCACTAAGTCTTCCCTGTGGATTATTCCCTCAACGACTCTCCTGTTTCCCATCAAGAGCCAGGACTCTGACACTGTTATTGACACATTCAGGAGAGGAGGCTGACAATGTCAGTAAACAAACAGCAGAGTCTTTACTCTCCCATTTCTCGCTGGATAAAGTTTTTTCTTGTGTGTGTTAAGATGTTTGAGTTGTTACCAAAATGATAAATGCCGGATATGTTAAGAGGGTTGTTAAGTCTGTAGCAACCCATTCGATTCGGACCATTACTGTTGTCTCTCCACTCGTAATCAAAGTCTCCTACAAAGTCTGTATTTTTTTTTGCTCTCTCCAGCGTAGAAAATACAGTACTGCAGTCCTTTTGTTTAACACCATGTAACTAGTGATGATAGGGAGGTTAGTCTGTTTGAATCCATTATTTGCCATTAGAGGATTAAAAAATAAAATGTTTGAACTATATCCCTCTGCTAATGCACATGGCGTTTAATTCAGGGAAGGCTAAGTTTTAAACCTTTACACTTTAGTTGAAGGGAGATTGAAATGGTACTGGAAGGAGGTATGGAACTTTTGTGGAGTAGTCCTTGAGATTTCAGGAAAGTGTAATGGTGCACATGCTGACTGTCCAGTATGCATAATAAGCACATGTTGTGTTTGCCTTTTAGTTTTTTCAATACAGTATTTTATTTTTACAAGGGTATCCAAATTTTGTTTTAACGTTTCAATCTCTATTCTACGTGACTGGAGACGGACAGGGCAAGTGCATACCCTAATCCTAGGACCCCTGCAGATGGTTGCTTTCTTGTTTTCCTATTTTTTGCACCCCCCTCACCTTCTATAGGGAAGATCATAGCCTTTATTCAGTGTTTCCCATTAAATGTGCAGTGGTTAGGACACTCACCTCGCAAGTGAGAGGACCCAGGTTCGATTCCAAGACAGGGCGAAACCTTAGGCAAGTTTTCTTATTCCACACGCCTCTGTTCACCTAATGGTAAGTAGGAACCAAGTTGTTAGTCGATTGGTGGATTGCTTTCCTAGGGTAATAATCCCTTCCAAAAATAATAATAATAATTTGGTCACTCAATCCACGACTGTTTGTGGGACACTGCTGTGTGCAATTAGCTGCTGCGTTTCGCCCAGAAAATATACAGTTAATTCACTTTACAGCATATTCTGTGAAGTGCTTTGGGACTTCTCAACGATGTGATAAGGCACTATATCAAATGCAAGGATTATTATTATAAACTATAATTATGCTGCTTCACTTGGTGGCAGTTTAGTAGGCCTAACTCATAATTTTTCTTTTTTGTTTTCATTTATTTCCTTTTATTCCTCTCCCAATATTGCTATAGTTTGAGGAAGGTATATAGTGCTCAAAGCTTATCTCAATGTACTTCTATATAATGTAGTTCATATATAGTGAAATAGTTTTATTCTTGCTAACTAGTATAAGTAAAGTCACCTTAAATAGCATCAATTTAAGATTAAAAGCTGAGTTTGCCTATACTTTAAATGAGAAGCTAGAACACCAGTCTCAAAATCACTATAGTCATTGTAGTATATTAAGTCCTTCCACTTGTCCTGAACACTATCAGTAACCTCAGTTTCCATTATAAGAAAAGATGTCTTCTCAATGTAAAGGGCCTATATCAAATGTAAGGATTATGATTATTATAAACTATTGCAATCTGCAGTTGTCATGTCCCCCTTCCCTCCAGTCAAAAAACTCACCAACTCTAACTTGTAAAATAGACACTAAGGTGTTTGATAACTGGTGGTGCCTGCAAAACCATATCTCTGTATAAGGCGCCAGCTTCAAGAGAGGAAAGAGGAAATAAGGGGGAAAAAATGGAAGAGGTAAAAAGATGATAGAATCAGAGTATGAACTTGGATATTTTTACCTGTCCTGCTTCACAATAATCCAAAATCTTCGATTATTGCATTTTTATATCCAGAAAGAATATTTGACATTTTCCATCATCCCAATTGACATGTGGTTGATTGTTAACAGTATGAAGAGGATGAAAAAGAGTCACTGGCTTGGAAATATCTTTCTCTTACCCAGATGATTGATCTTAACCAATTAACTTTGGAGGGCGTTGAAGAGTAAGTACCATACATCTCAAAGATACACGTTAAAACAGTTTGCAGTGCTGGGTGCTATAACCATTGAATAATTTTTCTCAATTTCCTCTGTTCTAGATCAATAGGGGAGGATAAAGTGCTCCAGGCTCCAGTGTATTTGTCCATTTCTTTCTTGTACTTCAGTTTCACCCACAAATATACAGTTAATTCACATTACAGTATATTCTCTGAAGCACTTTGAGATGTCTAGAAGACATGAAAAGCGCTATATCAAATGCAAGGATTATTATTATTATTTGAAAGTACTGTACTAATTTAAAATGTATTCACTCGACATTGTCTAAATTGCTTGATTTTCAATCTTGCTTTCAATTTAATTATGCTACAATTTAATTTGTTTGTTTAATCATCAATCATCAAGGAATCGGCATAACCAAAAAAATGATAAAAATGCAAATCTGTACATAACTTTTAATCCCCAATAGCTCAGGTGGATAAAGGCATACCTAGGATGCACGTGCGCTATAAACACCTGGAATGTTGCAGGTTTGATCCCTAGATTGGGCTACCCAATTTCAGCTGGGGTAGCAGTATGGGCACTGCAAATGGCCTATTACCCATGGCTAAAGGAGAGGAAACATCAGCCAAGATTCCCGGTCCGAAACACTATTCAGTGCCCCTGTCAGAAACTGCATTCAGGTGGATTTTGGATGTGGAAATACTCACTGTCCAGGGGTTTATAAATGACAAGCTGTACCCGTTGCAGCTATGCTTGCAACCAGTTTAATTTAATCGTCCTCTTTTCTGCCTAGCATTTTTATTTGTCCTTGAAAGGCTTGATCTTGGTTTCTTAGGGATCTTTATCCATTAAGAAAATATGTTGTTGAACTCTTTATCATCCCTTGTTCACATATTTGAATACATATCCTTTTGGGAAGACTGCCATGGGAGGACTCCTGACACACACAGACATTTTGTCTTTATTAGTATCCTGTTGGGAGGACTGACACACACACACAGAAAGAGAGATTTGTCTATATAGATTTATCTCTCTAGAAGGCTGTGTGACCTCTGTCGCTACTTTGTTGCAGAATGCCATGCATACTTTTTTGGGAGCTTAATGAAAGCATTTTTTTATATATTTTTTAATATAACTAATCAACGATAGGAGATCCCTGAAATTTTTTTGTCCCACGACACTCTCTTATTCAAGACCTTTCCGATGCGGTATAAATCATGTCTCTACGTCAATCGGTTATTGAGTTCTTGGCAGACACGGACAGACATTATATTTATTAGTATAGAAGATAGAAGAATAGCTACTTGGGCAAGACACTGGAGAATACCCAGCACATATGGCAACATGAATGTAGCAATAGTCAACAACTTTGAGGAGAGGAAGTATGTAATTTGCATGGTATGGTGCATTGGAACACCAACATATGATGCCTTGCCAGGGTTTACATCTCCACACTGTTCTACTAAAAATCAAAACACACAAAAACGTTTTTAAATGTTCTGAACAGAAAAATATATATATGTACCAGGCAGCAATGTACAACTAAAATCATATCAACTACATAAATTAAATTAGCAAAACAGAAAGGAAACAGGTTAGTAAAACTAACTAATTATTTCCTGTGACCTTCTACCATCATCTTTTTATCAAGGCTTTATTGGTGAACCATTGATTTTATCATAGGTGCCTCCAGACATTTGATTACGTTTGCTGATAATTTGTTTTTATTCAGTGCTGCATGATGACTATCAGATGAATTTGTTTCTGGGAAAAAAAAGCACTGCTGGGAAATTAGATGACTGTTCTTATTTACTCATTGTTTTTTCAGTTGTTTAGAAATTGAACATACATGATCGCTTCAAAGTAATTTGTATCACATAGACATAAATGGTCATTCATTTATGCATTTTAAACCAAACATGTACTAGATAAAAATCAGATGATGTATTAACTGTTCTTGTTTTTTAAGCCCACATTGACTTTATTATAAATGGAAATGCCTCTTGTGCCAGATTGATACTCAATAATTTATTATGTTCAACCATAAAGCAGTTAGGAGTGTGAACTTTATCTTATTTTTTTTGCTTCAAATTTGCTCTTGCCAAAGACTATGTGTATGTATAACTACATCAATTGATTTTGTGGCTGTTGTAAGGGTAAAATTGAGGAATTATGCAGTGGTCACATCAATCAGTGATCTTTCTAATACTGTATGCATTTAGAATTGAATTTCCCATTATATTATAATGACCAAAAGTTACATTGTCTCTGATGTAGTTCAGTTGGTAAGATACATTCCACAGACAATGTAGATAGAATGGCCTCCTTCTGTGCTGAGAAATTCTTTATTTATGTGTAGGAAGGAGAGGAAAATATTTATGAATGTTTTGTACAAAGTCTGATTTGAACTTGATTTGGTGGGTTGAAGGTGGTGTTAATTTATGATGATATCACATTCCTTTTCTTAATCTGAAAACAAATGTTTTAATTGCACTTTAACAGATCATATCAGAATTGAAATAGATCTGATAAAACACCAGCAGGAGTACTTCTGGTGAATTAAGTCCACAGGAATATATAACAGTGAAGTAAAAAATATATTTTAGTTATTGCTTAATGATATATATTGTGTACATACTCTGGAATATTTTAAATCTGATTCAAACAGTGCCAGTGGAAAAACTGTACTATTTCTCCAGGTTAAGGTATTCCATGTTTTGTCTTTCATCCATAAGGAAAATTATCAAGTATCAATCACGAATGAGAAAGAGATGCAAAAATGCCACCAGCTAATGCGTATTGAATTGCATTGACGTCTAGTGAGTTCTGTTGTTTTACAGAAGTATGTGTCTGTAAAACAATATTGGGTTCATTTTATTAGATATACAGATCTTTTCACTGTTTCTAATCATTCTATTTCTTTTTGTATAATTAAAGAAGGTTGAGAGAATTTCTAGATCTTAGAGAGTGCCAGATCTCTTTGAAGGATGGCATTATCTTGGATTATTATGTCTCTGGGTATTGGTGGGCCAAAGAGCAGAATTTCACCATGAAACAGATATCCAGCTTCATGACACTATTAAGAGTAATTCTGGACAATGTCAGTAGTAAGTATGATTTCTTACTAAATATGGTACATAGTAAATTGAAGCATTAAAGCATGACAGCAGAAAATTGTTTCATTGATCCATTGTTAGCAAATACTATTATTAGCAATGTGGTAGTTATGACAAAAAAAAGAGATAAAGCAAACAAATACTTCTTTCAAATAACTCTCTTTTGTAAATAGAGGAAAGGTATTTGATAATTCATAAAAGATAGCATTGCTACTTTCACGTTTCAAGGTTAAATTTCACAAGGTTTCATAAGATTTTAATACCACACAAATAGAACATTAATAGCTTTAATAACACAAAACATAATATAAAAAGCTTTCAACATTAGAGATTGCATACTGTTGTCTCCTTAATATTTCACTTTTCTTTTACAAAACAGGACATTGTTCTTCTAATCATTCACGCAATGCTGTTTTATTGCAGACAAACGCCTGCCATTGACGGATAATGTAAAGGAGCTTGTGAAAGTCATGTCAGGAAATAACCAATCAAGTTCACAACCAAATGATGTGAATTTCCCCAATGAAGAGTCCAAGGCTATTATTAATTACATAAAAATCAGGTACCATCTCCATCTTCTGTGTCAATAGCGTCCAAGTTGTAGCTGTTCAGCCACAGTTAAGGGTTTTTCTTCAAGATCAAAGTCATCTACTCTCTCATATTCTGGGCTATTGTGAATTTTTCTTCGTATAAATTGTAGCAGAACTGAAAAAGATGGTCCTTTTCTTGGTTTTCTCAGCTTCCTTAATCTTCTTGTGAACCAACTGAATTTGAAATACCTTGGCATTGTCTTAAAGCAAATGTAGTTTAGCGAGCATTGTTTTGTAGTTACTATGGACTTTTATGATGTCATCACAGCAGGGTTACATAATGTAACCTACGTTAAAATTAAAGTCCTGGGTACAATCCAAATCTTTTCCTAGAAAATTAGCAGAAATGAAACAAAGAAATAATATATTATTCCTTAATTTCTTTGATTTTTTTGTAAATAATGTGGCAAAATCCAGCCAATTACAGTGTTAAGTGCTAATATAAAATAATTCAATCAACTACCAATGTTGGTATGTATGCTTGCCATATATGCAGAGAAGGCATTATTCACAAGGATTAGATTTGTTGGTAAGAAATCTGCTTTTATTAAACAGTGCCCGCATTTACAGAAAAACATAATAATAGAATTATATATGCAACTAAAGTATTTATGCTTATTTGATTATTTTAATTTGTTTTAACATGCTATAATGTTAGAAAAAAACAATCCTACCTTAATATTGCAAATTACAATTTTCAGGCCACATACATGCTTTTCAAATTTCAACATTGAATAGTCTATCGAATAATATTGATAAAATCACCCCTTTAAAGAATAAAAATAAATAAATATTCACCCAAACATTTCTTATTTTACAGTATTCTATGAATAACTTCCAAATTGTACTCTTATTCAATAGAAATATTACTTATCATCAAATTGTTAAATGTCTGTCTTTTAGGATATCCCATTTTTCATTTAAAAAGTAGCAAATTTCATGCACTGTATTACCATGTTATTTGTTTTTCAAAGAAACAATATAGGATCTAGATACATTAACCAAGGAAATATTGAAAGCTATCAATAGGTTGTACGATTCACAATGGGTTCAGATAAAAATCTGCAACCAGAGTTATTGCTGATATTTTAGGAAATTTGGAAGTCAGTATTGTCATATTCTTTCTCTTGTGATGGAATAAGTACACAAATCTCCCATTGGCTGCCTTACTAGAATGTACCTAAAAAGTCAAGCCCTGTGACATTTATTTAATGTTTAGACAGGAAACTAGTGCTTGATATAGTACAAAGGAATAAAGAAATAGAAATCAATGGGAGAAAAAATTACAATGAAAAACGATCTATTTAAGTGAATTCAAGAGAAAATAAATTGCTGTGCCTTGCATGGAAAAACTGTCAAACAACAACAAGATTACATTTGTATAGCGCCTTTCACATCGGGAGGACATTTCAAGGCGCTGGACAGAGTACAGCAATTCAGGCCTGAGCTGGAGTTGAGGGGGGGGGGGGGGGAGGGGGGGAGAAGGGAGGGGAGGACATGGTCGAAGAGGAGGGTCTTGAGGCGGAACTTGAAGGAGGATAAGGAGGGGGCGAGGCGGAGTGACTGGGGAATGGAATTCCAGAGGTTGGGGCAGAGTGGCTGAAGGCTCTCCCGCCAATGGTGGGGTGGGTGGGTCAGGGGACGTTGAGCCGGCTGAGCTGTGCTGTAAGAGTTGCAGGTGACACATAACGTTTAAGCATGGTGCTTTAATAAATCTTACAAAAGTAACTTTTAATAACGTTTATGGATCGAATGACAAAAAATGGAAGAGTTGTAAAAACTGCAGGACATTTGTCCTATAAGTGATACTGCAACTTGACCAAAGGCATCATGACTGAGCGCTTTATAGACTGCCAAGCAGAAAATCAAAGCACTGATGAGATAACTTGGCAGTGGTCCAGTTGGGCAGGAACAGAGGAACAAATTCTTGTATTGACAGCAGCAAATGGCTAATTTGAAAATCTACCATTTTTTCGACAGGCTAGTGTTTGAATCTCCCATATGCATTTATTAAGATTGTTAGATAGGTTAATGTAAAGTAATTATGGCCTCGCAAGAAAACAAACATGGACATAAAATATGTCTCAAAATGCTTGGATGGAAATTGCCACAAATAAATTAAATTTGCCATCCTAAGAGAATTGTAGATGTGGCAAGAAGCATCCAAATATTTCAAATGTTAGAATGTTTCTGATGTCCAGTCTCCTTTTTTTAAATTTTGTTGTGCCAGATCCTCTATAATGCGCTGTAATATTGTAACATTTATGCAAATATAAGATCCACAATGACATGTGCTCAAAATCTCAGCATAGTGAATGTTAACACAGTGAATGTAAACATTGTGCCACCAAGAGAGAAGGAAGACCATAATAAACTGCAGCAAATTAGAGGGTAGTGAAGATGTGCTAACCCCAAAAAGACTTTCACGAGAGGTAGTTGGCTGTTCTATCTACAGAATAAGGAGGAAAGTATATCCAGCTAGACCTCAGATTAACGTGAGTATTTTTATTGCAATATAAATCTATTCACTGTCTGAACATTTTGACCACATCATTTTGGATCCATGTCATATCTGCATTAACTACACATGATGAACTTAGGAGAATGTCGACAATGTGACAAGGCACAATATCAAATGCAAGGATTCTTATCATAATATTACAGAGCATTATATAGAATCTGGCACTATATAATTTAAAGAATTGGAGCCTGAATATCATAAAAATAGTAACATTTAGAGATACTAAAACACTTATTTTTAGATATGATTAATTCAGCCACTATGCCCCGAGGCTCTGGAACTGCCTTCCTCACTCCCTTCATCTCGTTCCCTCCTTCCCATTTTCAGGTCTCTGCTGAAGACCTTTCTTTTCCCCTGCGCCTTTGGTAAAGCGCTCTGAGACTCCGTCTGGCGTGGAGGGCGCTATATAAATCCAAGTTGTTGTTGTTGTAGGGCCTTCAGATTCACAACAGTGTCATAGTACTGTATGTGCAAGCAAAGATAATTGAACTCAGGAGAATAACAGGATTTTAATTGCTTTTCTTCTGCCATTTTTGATCTTCCTTGATGTGTAAGCAAAGGAGATTTCAATGTATTATCACATTTACAAAACAGATTTGTTTCCTTGTTTCTACCATTGTTTTTTCTTTCTGATGGTCTACTTTTACCTCTTTATCAGAAGTCAACAGCTCATGCTGGGGATACAGTTCCATATGTACCATGACATAATTCTATCTCTCTCAGGTGACAATTTTTTAATGAGAATCTGCACGGTGAGTGACAGTCGGCTGTTTAATCATAAGATTATCACAGCTCGACCCAATCCTGTCCTTCCTGACTTCCACATTTATACAAATTTTCAATAAGATCACGGGATAACTTCTTTAAAGTACGTAAAATGAAAAAAAAATCACATGCAAGGATTATTATAATTGTTTTGTCAAAATTCTATTTTTAACCAGTCTATATCTGCTCTGCTATAACCTTGGATTCTGACTTTATCCTGTAACACCAAACAGTGTGGGTATTATGGGCAATACACTATAATCTAATAATCATTCTTCCATTCGATATAGTGCCCATAACATTGAGAATGTCTCAAAGCACTTCACAAGTGGACAGGGGGACAGGGGCTCTGACAGTACAAGTTGGCCATATAAACTGCAATCAAGTATGTCCTGTAACTGATCAAACATACTTCTAACAATTTCTGCTGTACAGATCAAAGGAAAGATGGCTCAAATAAATATTTTTTCTCATCGTTTAATTACTTAGTTGATGACTTACTTCTGAATGAAACTGGGAAAGTCCTCACTGTCTTGGCTGAGTTAGCCAATTTCAGCTAAAATAGCAGTAAATGCACTACACTTTCCTCAGTGACTCGTGTTAAGAAGGGTAAAATCAGACAGTGTTTGCACTTCTGAGATGTAAAAATCATCATGGTCTTTCTTCGCTATGTATCATAAATCCAGTGAAACCTGCTGGAAGGTGTGCATGTTGACATTGAGGATAGGATTGGGGTCTGTTATGATCTTCCCATGGTTGATTAGCTTAATTGTAAACAACTCAAACTGACACAGCAATAACGACCATATGGCTAGAGGGAGCGAAGCTCCTGGAACTTAAACTCTAGTTAAACAAAGAAAAAATGATACGTCATTCTACAAATTGATTTCTCCAGGATTTGTGGAATGGTGTTCCATTATTTCACTCAGACTCTTGATCGGTCTTCAGTTATTTCTTTTCAATTTTTGAATGACTTTTCAATTTCATTATTGTCATTATTGACTTTATGTCTTCTCATCCAGTCCAGGATTTCTGTGTCTGTTTCAAGTCTAGATTGGAATGCCTTTTTAATAGTTATTCACCTAGAAGTCTTTCAGTGATCATGATGATTCTGAATACCTGTATCTCTCTTACATGGGATTTAAATCCCTACTGTTATCAGAGATTATATGTGTACCCTTTATTCAGAGGCTAGACTTTGATGTTGGTTTGGGGTATATTTTAATATGTTTAATTTTTATCTTTGTATGCTGCAGGACTAATGACCTCTGCTTAGTTAATTTCAAAAAATAAAACTTACAGTTTTCAATACTCATTGCATGTTTTCTTTGTCTAGTTTATTTCAGCACTACAAACTATATGAATTTATTTTCACACAGATTCCAGATACAGAAATTCTAAGAACAGAGGTGAGGAAATCATAATTCTTAATGTAATATTAATCTGCTTTGAAATAAAGTTGCATAACATTAGATATAATTATAGTAGGAAAACTTTAACTTCAGAACCGATTTAGTTTTGTCCGGTAATGCATTTTCTTTGAAACACAAATACAATACAAGTGAAGTTTTGCAATTAAGATGTATCCTACATCTTAGTGAAGTTCATTATTAAATGAAAAGAATATACGCATGTTAGTTTGTACATTTGTGATTTGCTTCAGTTACAGCGAGGTTCTAAAATACAAATGATATACATATTACAAGCTAATATTAGTTGTTTCAGAAATTGAATTATTGTTTTAAACATACATTTATTACGTTTCTGTATTGGAACAAAGTATCCATTATAAGCAAAAAAGGGTAGTTTTCAGAACAAAGTGCAGATGAAATGAATGTTGATAGTGAAATTAATGTTAGTTTATTAAAACTGATGTGATAAGATAATGCTGTATTGTGAAATTATTTTATTCTGTTTTTTGCTTTAGTGAGTGTTGAAATCCAGTATTTACAGCCTCCCAATTTGAGGAGTAATACAACAATAACATCAAATCTAAAATTATCATTCATACTTCAAGAGCATAAGGTCTCAAAATCACACAAGAGAATCATTTTTAGTATAGTCATGGAAATACTGCTATGCTCAGCCCTGAGGATACATTTTCTCTCCTATTCTCAATTTAAAGTATTGTTATATTGTTACAAAATATTTAGAAAAGAAGTTTATTTGTGAAAGTGTTCATTTTAACTGCTTACATATGATGTATGATGTAACATTGTTTCCAACCTTAGCTTGCAAAGTATGTTCAAAACAAAATTTATCAGTACAGAAAAAAATAACTATGATGTTTGTAGGTTCAACTTGATTTTTAAGAAGAACAATTCTCTACAAACCTTTCCACTTTACATAATTACTGGTACTTACTATTTGGTTTGAAAAATATATTTGTGTATTCACTAAAATTCTATCACAGGGGATGGGATTGTTCGTTTGGGTGGTAGTTTAAAAGCTGAGACGATTTTATGTCAATCCTAGGGTTATATAAGTAGGATACATCAGCTATTGTCCAACCAAATTAGGTTGCAGGCTTGGGTGCACCAGGGGGCATGAAAGGCCCAGCCAAAGTGTTTCTGTTGCAATCATAATTCATCACCCTTAGTTTACAGCAATGTTTGTTTGGGGAACGGAAGCTTCTTTTGTTCTATCTTTCTCACCCACTCGCTCTCATTGTGGAGTCCTGCAGCTCAGTGGTTAGAGCACTCGCTTTGCAAGTGAGAGACCTGAGTTCAATTCCAGGCAGAGGGCGAAACCTTGGGCAAGTTTCCTTACTCCACACACCTAATAATAATCCCTCCAAAACCAAAAACAATAATAAATTGGTCATTTTCAATCTACGACTGTTTGTGGGACATTGCTGTGCGCAATTGGCTGCCGCGTTCGCCCACAAATATACAGTCAATTCACTTTACAGTGTGTTCTGTGAAGCGCTTTGGGACGTCCTCCCGACGTGAAAAGCGCTATATCAAATGCAAGGATTATTATTATTATTATTATCTTTCTAGGAAATCATTTTGCACCTAACACTGCTTTGACCATCCAAATGTTGTATTACTTTCTCTCCATGAACTTCAGTATCTGCCTTTGAAACAAAGTTAAAATGTCTTAATGAAATGATGCATCAGCTAAATATTTTTTATATTTGTGATGCTGATTGCATTGTAATTTTGTTTAAAAAGCTGCTATTGTTGTTCTTTAGCATCAGTCAACCCCATTGTCGTATCTATTGTTTTTGGATCATGTATAGTTTTTCTTCCATGTTTCAGAGCCAATGGGCCAGAATGTAAATTACTCTCTCTAAACTTTAAGGAAATAGCTTGATAAATAAAGGAATGGCACTGAATGCTAGACAAACACCGAGTTTTCCTGTCTTTGTTCGATTTATGTTCAGAAATTTTAGCTCTTATATTCTTGTTCTGTTTGCATTGTTCAAATTTGGTATTAGTTCTAACTTGGTATAAATTTAATTTGTAATGAATTATATATATTTGACCATATTTGACAAAAGTTCTGAATTGTTAATAAATTAATCTATCTTAAAAAAAGACCAAATTAAATAATATAGTTTATGTTTTCAACTAACAGTATTGGTAAGCTAGATTGGATTTTGAGTGAATATTGCGTCCGACTAAAATATTTAGTTATACCACAACTAAAATATTTAAGATTATTATCCAAATATAGGAATGGTTTGTGCTAATCTGTTTTGTAAGATGTTCTATAAAAGCTACAAAAAAAGGGTCAGACAAATTAGACTTCCATCCAGTTTTGGATGTTTAGGATAACTACTGTAATGTAGACTGATGCACAATGACATCTATCTTATGTAAGGCAAGCTTTAGCATATCTACAAATGCTCTAGTTCGTAAATGTCATGAAACTCATTAATTTCATATTATTTATTTTATTTATTATTTTAATTATTACAATTATTTTAATTGTAATGCAATTTTGCAAAAATATTTTTGTAAAATGTATTTGATTCTGTTGATGGTTTTCTGTGGAATTAGCCACTTCAATGTGAGTCTATAGAGTTTGATGAGATTGCATGCCAGTGCTGGAATATAAAATATAGAATATTTATCAAAGTGGGTGATGGTGAAACTATTGAAAAAAATAAATGGCTGTATCATTAATCGCTTGTTTCCTTATATATAAGGAATGTTACAACATTTAGATTTATAGACCAACAAATTTTTAAAGAAATCTGTTGAAGAAAACTAATTTAATTACAGTGCTTTTAACAAAATCAAACCTATTTTCAGTGCTGTTATTACTGTTATTAAAGTTCGGAAGATCGGATTTTTGTTTGTTGGAAGACTGTAATTTTGTGAAGAAAGTATTGATACTTTACAAAAATGCTGTTATTTTAATACTGTACACAAAGTAAATACAATGAAGGGAGCTGTATTGGAAATGTAGCTGTTAATAAAAATGCTGGGAACTTCTAGGAGCATATTGAAATTAGATTCACAATAGGTGATGTATGCAACCTTTATCAGGGAGAATAGAAACAAACTTCTAATGATAAAACACCTCCTGACATGCGCTGACCTCTAGCTTCAGTTGAAATGCGCAGGATATTAGGCAGAAAGTATATTTTAAAGTGGTTTCAAATCATGATGATAATATTTCTTCTTTTTAAAAGCTTGAAGTTGAACTTGTCATGCCACCAGACCCTTTCCCCCTGCCATTGGAAGAGGGTATATCCTGGGATATCTTTGCCTCCTTTGTACAACTACCACTCAAAGATTCGGAACTTGAGGTATTACCAGCTCATTATTTAAAATTATGACTTTTTAAAATTATTTAATGCTTTGTGCAAAGGATAGTGTTAAACCATCTGTTATAATTATTCATTTTGTAGGATGCACAAGAGCATGAGGAGAGTAAGGATACCACAGATATTACTACCAGGGATCGCTTGGCATCTTACACTATAGATGATGTCAAGTTAGTGCTTGGTCAAGTAACAGCAGACGTGCTTGGGAGGGTCGAGGTTGGTAATTTTCATTACTTGTGTAAATTATAAAAAGATGGTGTAAGATTACAGATATTAAAATCCTTAGATGGTTAATGCACAGATGGTGTAGTGCTAAACTATATAGACCAGAGAGTTGTAGATTTCAGTGCTGTGTGTGTTGAGTAAATTCTGCTGATAAAGCATATGGGGCTTTACAATTTGCCTCAGCACTTTCTACACTACAGCAAGGGTTTACTGCCCTAGATCACCATTCGGTGAATCCTGCTGGAAAGTGCTTGTGTGTGGAACTTGGTTGGAGACATGTTTGGGTTGAGTTGTGGTCCTCAACGTTCGAATAGCTTGTTGGCATTCATTGAACATAAAAATAGCTACTTGGTGGGTTATCAGAAGACCTTGAAACTATACCTTAGCAAATGTTAGTGCCTATAAAGTGAGGAAAAGGGAGAAATTTGGCCCAGCTTACTTGGAGTTCAGCTGATATTTTCCACAACAAATGCATAATCATATGTGATTGATCTGTTCTCCATGATCTCTGCATATTCTTCATGATGCAGTTTTAAAAAGTATTTTTGTCATATACCCATTTGGAATGTGAAGATTTCTAATTGGAATTTGAAAACTAAGGCTTTACTGCATATCACTCTACAACAAACCACATCTCCCCAATATCAAAGATCTTTCTGCAAGAAGATTGTCTCAAGCATTGTAGTCAGGATACTTTCCACCCAAGGATAGATCTGAAAGTAAATCAACTGTCCACATGTGGAAGTTCCAGTCTGAAGGATAAAGGGGAAATACTTAGCTCAGTAATCTCTATTAGCTTCCAGACACACACAGGACCCACCCTTTGGCACCTACCATCAGGAAATAGGTACTTCAAAAATGGAAGCGGCTTGTATAAGGAGGATTAATATTAATGGCTACAATATTATTGGGTTTATAAGTTGCAGAAAATAACTTTTTAAAAACTCCACATATTTGTGTGCAAGATCCTATTCATATGATGTAGCGTCATGGAATAGCAAGCCACAACAGTCTAGTTGTTAAATTGTTATACCTGTAAGGAATAGTGACATTTCCCCAGAAGTTAATATGTCTGGGTGGAAAAGAGGGTGACGGAAGGTACGGTCGAAGAGGAGGGTCTTGAAGTGAGGCAAGGGAGGGGGCAAGGCGGAGGGACTGTGGGATGGAGTTCCAGAGGGTGGGTGCAGAGTGACTGAAGGTCCAGCCACCAATGGTGGGGCGGGCAAGGTGGGGGATGTGAAGTAGGCCGTAGCCTGCTGAGCGGAGGGAGTGTTCAGGTTGGTAGGGTGTTAGGAGGTCACAGAGGTAGGGGGGAGCAAGGCTGTGGAGGGTTTTGAAAGTGAGGACTAGGATCTTGAACTGTATCTTCTGTGTGATGGGAAGCCAGGGTTTTTTGAGATAAGCGGCTTATATGAGATGGAATAGGTTTATTTGAGGATTTACAAAGTTCATTTTCAAATGTAAGACTATAAATAATAATACTTTTCATTATTATTAAATGTGGTAACTTTGTAAACCACTTTTCAATCAAAGTATTTCCCTATTTTTTTTCTTGGTCAGCTAGGTATCTAAGCTAAGTGCTTTGAGATGTCCTCCTGATCTGAAAGACGCTAAATAAATGAATATAAATGGCATATAAATGAACTTCTAGGAGCATACATACCAGACTGAGAGTTCCATATATGTATGCCATCTACACATGGAAATTTCTATGCGTCTTGAATGAAATTTGCACAATCTTCCTAGAGGGATGCTTACCTAATTCTGGAGAGTATCAGGCATAGTTTGGTGAGAGCCAACACAATGTGTTGGGGTTACTCCTGGAGTTCAACTGGGTAAAACTGCATTACTTGCCTTGGAGTTCACTGTCTGACCTACTTCCTGCTGCTTATCCAGTGAGAGATGCCTTACCCATCAGTGCTTTGGCTTCAGGGTTAACAGAAGCTGATTGGAAGAATCCATGTTACCAATTTCCTGCCCCTCCAAGTCCTAAAACAAGCCAGGCTGGCAGGTCTATCAGTAGTGATTTGGAGTACTGTTGACCTGCTCAGGAACCAGATTACCATGAGCAAACAGAGTTTTGAATCGATTCTGACATTCCGTTGCCAACCATATCACCTTGGACCCAGCTCAGTTCCAAGGAGAGCCATTTGCCTCCACCTTTCCCCCCTCCTTCCCTGAAATGTAATCACTAATTGGTTATTTGCCATGTTCATTTACCAAATGCTTTTATCTTTAATTTGTTGCAAAATAACAAGTTACTTCATGTTATTTGGTACTTGCCGTACAGTATATGGCATGCCTAGGGTAACAGACTGCTGCTTTTTTTATTTATTGTGGAATCATTTTCAGATTTTCTATTAGGGAAAGAAAATATAATGGAGCCTTGTTAGAACACAGTGCTTGGGGAGTTTCACAAAATCCTAACCCAGTGTTATGATAGGTGGTTTCATTGAACATATTTAACAAAAGTCGGTACCCATGCAAAAAAACAATGCCAATTTCTGGGTCACCAGATTGCCATTCACCTTTTATCCTGTGTATTCACATCAGACATTGCGCAGGAACTGAGCCGGCCAGCTGCAGTAGGCACGATGAATAGAGTCTCTGCCCCATTTGTGTTATAAACAAATCAGGGCTATATTGAAATGTGTTATAATGGGACTGTACAGTAATTTGTAGTTTTATAGCACCTTATCACATCAAGATGCCTCAGAATACTTCACAAGTACTTCCTGCAGGCAAATACAGAAATTGTTTGTGCCAGCAAGGTTCAACAAGATGCCATAAAGTGAATGATCAATTAATCTAGAGGATTATTGGCCAGGATCCAGAATAAACTCCATTCTTTTTCTCATAGAAGGTCCACCTAAAAACAAGCAAGCAGTCAATGATGCAGATAAAGCCATTGAATTTAAGGGTAAAAGTGCAAAAATTAGGGTTTAACCCTAACCCTAACCCTAACCCTACAAAAAGTTTGTAACTACAGCTAAAAACACTGAGAAAATCAACAGAAACACTGAAACCAAACATAATAATTCCCTAAAACTACCAAACAAAATGGTCTCAGCATGAAGCATCTACTTATAGAATTACAGTAATTAAAACACTTTGACTGTTTTTTTGCTGCAATTCAATAGGTTTCTTTCCAGGATATAACCATTAGATAAAACACTTTTATGAGTCTGTGAGTTAAATTTAAATGGATCACAGATTAAGTTAGCAACATAAAACATATGTACAAATCTTAGTAAACACCATTTTTATATCTCCCGTTGTGCATCACTTCAAATGGAAATCTTTGGGAAACGGAATGCTTCATTAAATTAACCTTTGTCCTTCTGCTTATGGGACCTGAATTTGATTCCACTCCAGACAGGTGCTGACGATCTCTTCTGTCTGCCAACTTTGTTGATATTCCTGGAAATGAACCTCGATTCAGTTCCCAATGAAGCACAGATTCACACTCAAATGCCATCTCATTCAGAGATGCCATAATGGTGACTTGTTTGCAAATGGGAAAATATTCACACTGGTCCTCAAGAGATTCTCGTTTAACATATTAATAATAACAATCCTTGCATTTGATATAGCACTTTATCAAGTATTTGAGATGTCTCAAATTGCTTCGCAGAATATGCTGTAAAGTGAATTGACTATATATTTTGTGGGTGAAACTCGGCAGCCAATTGCACACAGCAGTGTCCCACAAACAGTCCTGGGTTGAGTGACCAAATTATTATTTTTTAAATTTTTTTTGTTTGAAAGGATTATTACCCCCGGAAAGGTATCCGCCAATCGACTAACACCTACTTCTAGGTGAACAGAGGAGTATGGAGTAAGGAAACTTGCCCAGCATTTCACCCCGCTAAGGAATCAAACCCAGGTCCTCTCGCTTGCGAGGCGAGTGCTCTAACCACGAAGCTACAAGACTGCGCATCTCATCTGAAGGACAGCATTTCCAATAATGCAGCACTTTATTGGGGTGTCAGTATAAGCTACTTGAGCTCAAAGCCTGTTGTTGGGCTTGAACCCGCAACCTCCATTGTAAAAAAAAACCTATTTTTAAAAGTGATAGTTGATAGCACAGTGGATACTATTTTAACCTCTGAGTGATAGCAGTGTTTTTTTGTTTCAAATAAACTTGCTCGCCTGAATATACAGATAATGGTAGATCTGTCTGCGCTGAACAGTGTGTGAAAGATAGTTATCCTGAAAAAACAATTCCTTGTACCTCCTGTTCATTATAGATATAATGTTCATTGGGTGTGTAGACTGTGAGACTAACAGTTATCAAGCATGGACAGGCTGGGCAATCTAAGAGACTGACAAACAGGAAGGTGGGAGAATGAAGACTGTTGAATATTGTAACCCTATTGGTATAACAGAACCCGAAAGTGATTGTGCAGCATATGATGATACTTCATTGTATTCTCTTAACAGACTGAGATAAATGAAAAGCTACACAAGCAGGAAGAGGCCTATAGTGCAAGGATCGAAAAACTGAAAAATCCCTGAGGCGAGTTACAAAAAGTAACTGTCAGCATTCCCTACGTATCACAACTCAGCAAGATATACAATTTGTCTTTTGCAAGTTATTTGTTTCCATGTATTAACTTATTCCAAAGTGTGTAGTAAAAAGAAAACCTTGAAGGTAGATAAACTGATGTCTACTTCTACCTAAAAGTTACTATCTTGGTATTCTTCAAAAAAAAGTATTTGCTGACAGGGAAGAGCCATGAGTCATTTTGTCACTGTGATAAACTGTATGTGACATAATGATATGTTTTGACATGATGTGTATCATTGTATCTTGCTATAAAACAAGTAAAAACATGTTTACTAACACTTTTTCATGAAAATGTTGCCCATTGATATCATTGTCCTTGCATTTGATAGAGTCTTATCACGTCTTCGAGACGTCTCAAAGCGCTTCACAGAATATACTGTGAAGTGAATTGACTACATTTCGTGGGTGAAACGCAGCAGCCAATTGCACGCAGCAGTGTCCCACAAACAGTCGTGGATTGAGCGTCTAAATTATTTACAAAATTTTTTTTTTAGAAATATCTTGCTCTTCTGTTTTTTCTCCAGTGCCTCCTCATACTACACTCCAGTTCACATGCCAAACTGGAGATGAGTACCCATAAGTTTTGTTCTAATTTGTGAAGTTTAGTTATTTTCGCCCACAAATATACGGTCAATTCACTTTACAGTCTGTTCTGTGAAGTGCTTTGAGACTTCGAGAAGACTTGAAGAGCTCTATATTAAATGCAAGGATTATTTTATTATTATTTTGTTCTTGTATGCTTTGAATAACGCTAATTAAATTGTTAATAGTTCTATTATAAATTACAAATAAAATTATGCATGTTATTGTTTTAAGAGCAAAATATTTACTAAACTTAGGAAATGGAGCAGAATTTTGCTTATTCCCAATCAACAAAATCACTACACACTTTATGAAACAGAATAATATCTTTTGCGAAATCTTCATTTCACTATTCCACATGCAGTAGTTTAGTTTAGAGAAGTGGGGCAGTGGTTGGCCAATTTTCCTTCCCCTCTCAATTTATTTTATCATCCTGAATATGCAGCAGGGGTCATTGGATAGTGATTAGCAGCAGAAACCCAGACTGTTTTTGCTGAGATTAGCTAACTCAGCACAGACCTGGGATTCGAACCAGTGACCTTCTTCTGTAAGATTTAGTGCTATAGTGGTGGTGCTTTTGCCCACTAAGGAATTGACAGAGCTCTCATTTAGTTTTCTAATAGCAGTTAATGTGTTTTTGGCAAATTGTACGATTACTAATACAGAATCGTTTTAATTTCATATAAAATAAACTGATTTTCCAAAAGTAAGTGCATTGAATTTTGTTTGTAAGCTTTTATAATAAATCTACTACATTACCTACGCATATAAAAATTGCTTCAGTAAAAGACTAATGAAATACTGTTTTACTAGGTTAAATGATTCATTGTAAAAAAAATGAGACTTGCAATGTTAGACCTCCTGAATTAGTTTTTGTAGAGACCAGATCGAAAGAAACTCTAACATTAGCTTACAGTCACTGCTTTGATTCTTATTTTTTATAATCTTATTACCATGACATTTTTGATATGGTAAATATTACAAAACGTTTATTTTAATGTAGATAATCCATAATTATGTAAAAGATAGTTTATATTCTATATTTTTTATTGTAAATAAAAAATTAAAATTATGATAAACCAAAGAAATGTCACAGATGTCAGTCTGGTTCAGTTAGAAGCACTATTGCCACTAAGTCAGGAGGTTGTGAGTTCAAGCCCCATGTCGGGACTTTATAATAATAATAATCCTTGCATTTGACATAGTGCCTTGTCACATAGACTTGACATCGCAAAACACTTCACAGGATAAAGTGGTTTGCCTGTATTTTGTGAGCAGCCGGTTTGCACACAAAAATATCCCACAAAAGGCCATGGAGTGAGTGACTCATTTTATTTGGACGATTATTGGCCAGGAAAACTCCCTTCTTTTTCTGATTAGTTCTATAGGATCTTTAAGGTCCACCTGAACAGGCAGATCGGACCTCGATTTAATGTCTCATCAGAAGGACTGTACGTCCAACAATGCAACACCCCCAGCACTACATTGAGTGTCAGTTAAGCTAAGTGATTCCAAGTCCCAACATGGGAACCCACAAACTTCTGACTCAGAGGTGAGAATGCTACCAGTCAGCCAAGCTGACACACTGACTTTGAATTTATCATTTAGGCTGACATTCCATGGCAGTGTTGGGGTGTGCTGCATTGTTGGAGGTGCTGTCCTTCAGATCAAACATTAAACCAAAGTTCTGTCTGCTTGCTCAGGTGGATGTTAACGATTCCATGGCAAAAAGAGAAGGGAGTTTCTCTCAAAATCCTAGCTAACAACCCCCCACTTCATTGGCTATCTGTGGGATATTGCTGCAAACAAATTGACTGAATCATTTGCCTATAAATATGCAGTCACAACAATTTACTGTGAATCCGGTGAAGAGCTTTGAGATGTTCTCCTGAAGTGCAAGATGCTATTGTAAATTCAAGGATTATTATTATTTATTTAAATGTCATTTAAAAATTACCTTATACTGTAGTCATTTTTACACAGAGTGCACTTTAAATTTTTTCAAACAAAAATCACCTATTCTTTAAGAAAACTGATTTAATATAAAACATTTTTTAGATCACTGAGGATCACTGAATGTCATGCAAAACAACAACCTCCTTCCAATGGAAATTATGCTTAGTGGAGCCTCCTGGTGTTTGATTGTACAGTTACAGTAACACAATAATTTGCTTAAAAAAAGTATCCAAGAATAATTGCAACATCTACTTCACATTCTCATAATGTTCTATTTCTTTAAAAATCTGTTTTGAATGCAGCCAATTTTTAAATAATATATCAATCTTTCATGTTATTTCCCAGTGGAAACCCAAAATGAGAAGTCAATTAAGACTTGGTTTCAAATATGTCTCCAGTTGAATTATTCACTAGTTTATAATAATTCTTACATTTCGTATAATGCTTTTATTTTGTTGTCAAAATGCCGCAAAACACTTCACTAGATTGACCATAGACTGTCGTGACAGATTTCTGCACATCAATGTACCACAAACAGCCATAACGTAGGATTTTATTTGGAGGATTGCTGGCCATAACATCAGGAGAAAACCCTCTTTTTTGAAGTGCCATAGGATCTTTAATGTCCAGCTGAACCGGTAAACAGTTTAGCTTCTCAGCTGAAGAGTGACACCTCCAACTATCCAGCACACCCCCAGCACTGCATTGGAGTGTCAACTTAGAGTACCAGCTCAAAGGCCCAACTGGGCTAACAACTGAGCCAGACATAGGTTTGTAATATAGTATAGCTAAGTAAACTAATATATGATATAAAATATTATTTTTTCTTATGGATTTTTATGTTATAACAATCTAAAGCTTATATGCTGCCTTAAATACAAATTTGTACACAGCGATAGGATGGGTGTTTGTACTTGTGATTTCCCTAAGTGATAAGCTTCACTTTACATTGAAAAAAAAGATAGATTCAAGCACCACTGTGCAGATTCTTGGAATATTGTGCTTGTTTTTGCAATCTTCACAGCTTTGGAGAGACGCAATTTGGAGATTTAACAAATTCCCAGTATGGAGTAAGAAAAGCTGTAGGGCACCTGAATGTGTACTAATATTGTGAATTGTTCTTATAGCTAGTAATTCAATACAGAGTCTGAGAGAATGTTAATCAGTCACTCTCTATATCAAAGAAAGGTACAGTGTGTGATGCAAATAATGCAAAAAACAAATTTGTGGGAAACGCTTTTTCATAAAGAAAGTTTTCAACCTGTAGCTCTTTTCCACTTTTATAGGAATTTTACAATATAATTTACATGTATACAGCGCCTTTCACGTGGGAAAGATGTCTTAAAGGGCACCCAAGCTGGCGGAGGGAGTCAAGGGAAGTTGGGAGGGGGATGATGACCAAAGATGTGGTCAACGAGGTACATTTTGAGATGTGAGGGGAAGGAAGGAGCAAATCAGAAGAACTCTAGAATGAAGTTCCAGAAAGTGCTAAAATTTGTGCTATTGCTAGAAGTTTTTGGGACACTAACAATAAATGTTACTGAGATCAAGGTAAGAGATGGAAACAGCCTCAAGAAATGAGCACTACATTTTGTGTGGATAATTCTGGCTCACTGGTCACGATTGTTTTTTAACTACCTAATAAATATTTCTACTAAAGTTTCCATGGGTATTTTGATTACTTTGTTATTATTCATTAACAATATATGAAAATTGTGTTTTTAGGACCACGGATGAAAGAACATTTTCAGAATAAGGTCACTCACTGCTAACACGAACGTCATTGGTGACTGAAGTTAGCAGTTATGATGAAAAAAATGATTGCAGATGTGGGTAAAAATTGATTAAAAAGGAATGTTTTTAGATTTTTTTATATGGGGGTAGGAATCATTTTATTGAAGTGATGTTAAGGAAACTATGATTCAGAATATGATATTCACCAGTGTGTTTGTAGAGTTTTAGAAATATATGTGGAATGGTTTAAAACTGTTTTGAAGAATTCACATATACTATATGATTAACATGGGAGGATTTTCTGAATAATTCAGGAATGCAAATCCTTCTCCAGACGAGAGTATGTCAAAAGCCAGCCTGGATTGTGTTCCAATTTATAAATGTTTTGTGTGTAGCTCAATGACTGACCAGCAGGAGATGCACTTTAAACAGGGTGAGCTGGTCAATGTCCATTTGGCACTGTACCTCATGGCACAGCTGAGAACTTGAAAAACTCCTGAGCTTCCATTTGCAACCATCTGACAGAAGGAATCCATTTCAATGTTGCAACATTCTTGAGGTTTTGCTTTTTAAAATGGTTTTCTGTAGGCTGAAAATTGCATGAAAGCAATTATCCTAGTGTCTGTTGCAAAGCAAGTGATAAGATAATTTAAAGCATTAACTGCACCACAGCAAAGTTATCATTGCAGCTATTCTAAATGAAGTAATGCAGTAAGGGTGAAAGCCCCAAGGGATTCCTATAATCATGGTTTAGATGGGAAATGCAGTCATGCTCCCTCCAAATTTCTGTTAAAATCATTAAAACAACCAATAGAAAGAAAAAAGACTTGTGTCACCATGGAAGTCATCTGGTTTATGGATGGATATTTTCTCCATAACACTGAGCAGAGCAGCATGGAAATCCGTCAGATATAACGTCATATAATCATTGCAAAATTATAGCAAAATGGCCCAGAAGCATGTATCATACAAATTTATCTCCAATAAGTACACATTCACTACAAGTGCTATGCTATTGATGACTAGTAGAACAAATGTAATTAGACCTATGGCCTCTAGTGTTGCTGAATCT